TCGCACCTTGGGGATTGTAAGTTCCTCCTAAGAGTAGTGGCACAGGATGACACATCTAAAAAATCTTTGTATGAAGTGGAGAATAGCTCCAGCTCTGAGGATGGAAAAAAAAAAACAACTTTAGAAACCGAAATAGCTTTTTTAAAGGAAAAATTGAAGAAATGCAAGGTTCGAAAGAGCAGAATGGGAAGGGGTGCGACCACCTAGCAACAACCCTTTTGTGGATTCATATGATGAATGCTCCCTGAAGGATTGGTGGGTAGAGGAGCCCATCCCTAAGAAGGGGGTGATTTTTTCTAAAACAGGTTCCAATCATGTTTATCCTGTAATTAAAGTCCCTCACCCCAATAACCCTGGGCAAATGCTTAGGCAGCATGTGCCTTTGTCTTTTAAGAAATTAAAGAGCCTTAAACAGTTTCCTCCTGTGGGGCCTTGGCATCTTTTACTTTGGCAATTTTTGAGTCCTATAGCAACTTTAATTTAACACCAGGAGATTGGCAACAACTATGCCACACAACGTTGAGTGGAGGGGACTATCTACTGTGGAGGAAAGCATATCAAGAACAGTACGTTACCTTGACAACATTAAATGCACAAGCAGGGCAGCCCCAGAGAAATCTGAAAATGCTAACTAGATCAAGAAAATATACTGCTCTCCATCAACAGATTCATCATGATCCTGCTGTTTATGCCCAAATTGCTGCTACAGCTGTTAGAGCCTGAAAAGCTTTGACTAATAAGGCAGTTGAAGATCAACTATCAAAAGTGGTCCAAGGACCCTCTGAACCCTTCCAAGATTTTGTTAATAGACTACTCCAGTTAACAGAAAAATTGTTTGGGGATGCTGATATCTCCATGCCCGTAGTAAAACAGCCTTCAAAAATGCTAATAAATGAAGCAAGGAAGCCATTAGACCACATAGATCAAAAGCCTTAAATGATTACATTAGACTTTACAAAAAAATTATAAAAATTCTTTATAGGACAAGTACTCACAGTTGTCATACAAAAAAAGAGCTAACAAGAATAAAACTTGCTTTATATGTGGCCAAGCTAGATATTTTAAGAGAGATTATTGTCCAGGGAACAAGGTGATTATGGGTCCTGGCCTCAATGCCACCTTTGGGGTAATAAATAAAGGTGAAAGTCAGACGCTGACAGCCGCCCTCTCCCGACTCTGGGGAAATGGGCAGCGGGGCCCAATCTGGGGCCCACAAACCAAAGTGTATGAAGCCATAAATACCGCCATTACCCCTACTCCAGTTCCGTTTGTGCCTCAAACTAACCCCTTTACGTCAAAGACCTTGTCAGAGGTACCCCAAAAAGCACAAGGTTGGACCTCCATTCCTCCGCCAGAACAATACTGACACCTCAAATGGGCCCTCAAACATTAGGTACTAGAGTGTATGGCCCCATCCCTTCAGAGAGTATAGACCTTTTCCTAGGACACAACAGTGCCTTGTTGAAGAAAATTAAGATCCTTCCAAGAGTGATAGACTCAGATTATACTGAAGAAATTAAAATTATGGTTACTGTGGATAGGGGAGTTGTAGAACCCCAGGGAGATTGAATTGCTCAGCTAGTTCTCTTGCCGCAGTTACCCACTAAATATGCTACAATTAAAGATACTAGAGGTGATAAAAGGTTTAGATCCACAGAGACTGCCACCTTCTGGGTTTCTACCCTCGCAGACCGCCCTACCCTAACCCTTTGGGCTGATAAAAAGCCTATACAAAAAATTCTAGATACTGGTACAGATACTACTGTGATATCTAAAACATCTTGGCTTAGTAGCTGGCCCCTAGATAGATCCTCTTCCACAAGAATGGGGACAGCTGCTGCACCCCTCAAGAACAGTAAGATCTTAAAATGGCAAGACGATAAAAGACATAAATTATTACAAAAGGAGATTCGTCCCCAGAAGTTACAGATTAGGATACTCTGAAAACTTTATATGATTATCAAACATTGTTAAGAGACATAAATTGGTTGAGACCTTCCTTGCAATTAAGCACAGGACAGTTAAAACCTCTCTTTGATATTTTTAAGAGAGATACATCACCCATATCCCCCAAACAAATAAACGAAGAGGCTAAGAAATGCTTTAAAATGGTACAAAAAGCTCTTAAACAAGCTCATTTACATTATGTACATGATTCAAGAAAACTGTTATTTGTGGTTTTTACATCAAAACATTCCCCAACGAGTGAGGGGCTTTTGGCAGGAGGGCCCTATTTTATGGGTTCATTTACAAGCTTCACCCTCCAAGATTGTTTTATCTTACACACAGACAATAGTTTCCTTGTTGTGTAAAGCCCATAAAGTAAGCCTACAAATGTTTGGTAAAGAACCAGACATGTTTATTACTCCTTATAATAAATATCAGATCCAAATTTTATCTCAAAATTGTGTTGACTGAGCCTTGTTTGTTTGTACTATTAATAGACAATTTGATAATCATTATCCAGATAATAAGTTGTGTCAGTTCCTTAAGTTCCACTTGGTGTTTTTTTCAAAAATTATTTCCAATCAGTCCTTGAATCAGGCTCGCCTAGTATTTACTGATGGGTCCTCCAATGGTAGGGCTACAGTTGTTTCCCAAGGTAAAGTTGATACCTTACAGATGACCAATTACTCTGCACAATTAGTAGAGCTAAAGGCCGTACAATTGACACTATCTTTGTTTCCAAATAAAGCTTACAATATATATACTGATAGTACATATGTTTCTCAAATTATGAAACGCTTGGAGACTGCATCTCATGTGACACCTGTGTCTTCAATTTGCTCTTGCCTATTACAGGTACAAGCGATTTTATGACAACAAACTTTGCCTGTGTTTGTGGATCATATTCGGGGACATTCATTGTTGCCAGGCCCCTTGGCCCAAGGTAACAGTGAAGCTGATTTTCATACCAAACAAACTTTACTTGCCTTAAACTTAGACACTAATTATGATAAGGCTGTTGCTATACATAATAAACTTCATCTTAATACAAATTCCTTAAAATTTGAGTATAACATTACCAGAGAACAGGCTGTTCAAATCATTACTCACTGCCCTCACTGTGCTCAGTTTATCTACTCTCCTAATTTGGGAGTAAATCCCCAAGGTCTTACACCCAATGATATTTGACAAATAAATGTTACACATATTCCCTCATTTAAAAAATTACACTTCGTTCACATTACCATTGATACCTTTTCTGGTACGATTTTTGCCTTGGCTCACAATTAAAAAAACAAAACATGTTAAGAACCACTGCCTACAGACATTTGCCTATTTTGGGGTTTCCTGCCAAATAAAGACTGATAATGGCCCATCCTATGGTAGTGTGTCCTTTAATAAATTTTGTGATAAATATAGTATTACCGATAAGACCAGGGTTCCTTTTAATCTACAAGACCAGGCTATAATAAAAAGAACACATTTAACTTTAAAAAATTATCTTGAAAAAAAAATTACCTTGAAAAAAGGGGGGGGGGGATAAGCTCACCTCATGCAAGGTCATCCTTTACTTTATATACTTTAAATTTTTTATTAGTGGATAAGAATATTGTCTGCGACCGACAGCCATTGGAAACAAGCCTAGAAGGCACTGGACTTAGGGAAATGGAAAAAATTGTCATCAAGTGTATAGAAAGGCCCTGACCCTGTGTTAGTCAGGGTGAGAGGTTCTGTTTGCATTTTTCCTAAAGATGCTAAAAGTCCTGCTTAGCTTCCTGAGCGTTGTGTGTGCCCTGCCACTATGGAGCCTCGCCCAATCGGAGATCTACTGGAGCCTTGTGAAGAACTACCCAGTTCTGATGTCACTGGGGATAAGCAGCTCGACCTGATCGGTCATAGTTTCTACCAAGAATACTACTACAAAGGCTGCAGCTAATTCTGAGAAACCAACAATTTCTTAATGATACTCAACAGTTATCTATTTACATTCAGAAGATTAGTGATACTTGTGTGCAGCCTCTCCATGAAGAGACGTTGTTAACAGGACTCAAGCTGGTCGGATGGCTCCTCAAAAGGTAGGCTAGAGGTTCTTATCTTTGGGAGTCCTAGCCTTTGGAGCAGCCACAACAGGATTGATATTTCTTTGCCTCTTTCACAGACAACAGACCCAGTCCAAGGCAGTTACTAAGCAGGTGCTCATGTTGCTGGCACAAGAGAACCCTTCTGCCCAGATTTGGCTCAGCCTTTACCAAGAATAGTCAATGATAGGCAACTCCTTTGCAGTCCTTACCTACCTAAGACAGGGGCCCTGAGGCTGGCAGGGATTCCCAATGATGGGTAATTGGTATTGACAGAAGGTGACCTAAGACAGACACTATTTGCCTATAAAATAAAAACATGGGACCTGTAGGACCCTGAAGGGCTGCCATGCCCTGGCTGAGACCTTCCGTGTGCTGCTGTCTACTAAGTAGCATTCTGTGCTTTTTCTAAGATCAAAACGTCCTGATGTAGACATAATGCCCCAGGAAGGGAATTTACACTTGACAGCCCATTGCCCCCCAGTTGAGTTCCTGCTTATTTTTTCTTCCCTGGCTTGGTGTATATATTGAACCTGCTCAGTAAAACCTTTGGCATTCTCTCATAACAAATGACCCAAGCCTGTGTCTTCCTTTAATCCCCCAGGCCTATGCCCGAGCTCAGTACCATGACAGTGCTAGAGTTGTCATCTGATAACTACATATTCAAGACCAACAACGAGCTACACACTAATGACAGCAGAGGCCAGTCCAGAGCATGCATTACAAAGTCGGGGCAGACAAGCAGTGACACATGGGTGTACTTAATGCCATCTTCCTATGGCAGTGGGCAGGGCTGGGGACAGAGCTCCGCTGGCACAGCACTTGGCTAGTATGTCCATCTGCAAACCCAGCCATTCTCTACTACACAGTGAGTTCAAGGCCAGCAGCCCGTAAAATGGGGGATTTAGAGCAGTAAAGTTAATCCAGCCTGAGGTGGGCCT